AGCCCGACAAGGTGGTGCTGCAGGCGCAGGAGGTAAGTGCCACTCATTCAGTGCTCGGCCGAAGCTGGTATGCAGCTGAAGCTACCTGTTGAGACGGCGGGGGGGGGAGAGGGGGGGGGGGGGGCGCTGCAGTGTGAACAGCGGTGCTGAGTGCTGCTCTTTCCACCATCTAAAGTAGCCATTAACTTAGCTTGCACTCAACCTTACTGAGCACAAGAGGTGAGTGCCGCTCGATTCAACTCTAAGCCGAAGGTGGGGGATAATGTTGGAATGGGGGGGGAGCGCGGTGCTGAGCACTGCTGTCACGTGCCCAAGGGGCGGCTCAGCTGAAATGGGGTTAGGGTTAGTGTTAGGTCAGCTGGGGGATTGAATCAGACAGAATAGGATGTACTGAGCTGACGTTTGTTGGCTGGTGAGGTTGCTGTGATGATTATGGTGCAGCGACCTGTGTTCTTTCTTAGGTTTAGGGTTAGCCTAACCAGTGCAGCGACCTGTGTGTCCTTTCTTAGGGTTAGGGTTAGCCTAACCCTAGGTATGAGCACCTACGGCCAGCAGCTGACACTGGTCTGCAGAGGTTCCGCTTTCTAAACGACAACAACTAACTGCGTTCATGACAAGGATGTCAATGAATGTAACAGTCGTTGCACGTGTATGCAGCATCATTATGCATGCATCTCAAGGTAGAGCTCAAGCCCCTTGCTAGAGTAGTCGCTTCTGGTGTGGAGTTGAAAGAAGTGCAATTGTGAGCAAAGATTAAGTCACGCATACATGCTCATCCTGTGCACTGAAAAGCCACATTTAAGATCCCACGAGTCGGCACGCCAACCCCTGGGTTGGTTGGCAGACACTCTGCTCTTCAATATTGAAGTGCTACCATGTGGTGACACCGCACTTGCTTGCAGATGAACAAGCACAACTGGACCGTAGACATTCTGGAAGACAAGATACGGGAAAAACTGCACGAGAGAAGCGGCGGCACGGGAAACCTCTACCAAGTGCAGGTGGGTTACTTTGTTCACGGCTAACTGGATAGTGTGACACGGGTTGCAGTTGATGAAACGTTGCGTATTGTGCATCTACTCAAGGTCATCTTGACAGGACCTCTGCACGATTAAAACCTGAGAAGGCTTGCCGACTCGTCGGAAGCTGGCACATCTCCTTTTTGCGGCGCCACCATGTGTGCTTGAGAGCCAGTGTGGTAGCTCACAGCCTGTGACCCTTTGCTCGTGGTCAGAATGCGCCTTTAGTCCATAGGCGCCTTGCTCGGCAACATACTGCTGCCAAAGTCTAATTACAAGTTCATCAACACTTGCACGAGCCCTTGCTGTGGTGCGGTCGGCGCATCTGTAAGCCACGCCGTTGTCCACTTGCTGCAGTGAGCACATAGTTGTCCAATTGCTTTGGTGAGCACGTGTGCCACAGCGACTGTTGCACAACTTTTGTGCGGCTGTGGCTGATGTAGTTGACATTTATAACAACATCCCGATTCTATGATACGCGCATATTCGCAGTACACACGCCTACCCCAACCATGGCACCTGTGGTGCTGTGTGAGGCATGCCGAGGCAGGCCGCCTTCAATACATTTGCAGCACGTACCCGGCATACCGCTCATGTGATGATGAGATGCTGAGCACTGATGTGTGACACTTGCATGCCACGGCAGGCCACCTACCGGCTGTTTCTGGATGGGCGCAACAACGGCGTCACCAGGGAGCGCTTCAAGGTGATACAATGTCAGATACACACATACCCCGCATGATATGAGCACTGATGCACAACTGGATGGGCGCAACAGCGGCGTTATCAGGGAGCGCTTCAAGGTGATGCAATGTCAGATACGCACACACCCCGCGTGACCTGAGCACTGATGCACCACGGAGCGCTTCAAGGTGATACAATGTCAGATGCATACATACATACCCCGCATGATACAATGTCAGATACATACATGCCCTGTCACCAGGGAGGGCTTCAAGGTGATGCATATGTACACAGCGTGTCGCGATCGCTGCTGCGCGTACACAGCGTGTCGCTATCGCTGCTGCGCTGTAGCCTTTGTTGCGCACCATAACGTGTGCGCCGCATCAGTCCTGTGATGCTTTGTCGCAGTGGCGCTGTAGCCATAGTCGTTGGCGGTGTACCGATTCTAACCCTACCCTAGGGCTAAAGGGAGGAGTAGGGTTAGGGTGTAAGTGTGAGTGTAGGGTTAGGGTAATGATTAGGGTAAGGGTTACGGTCAGGGCTAGGGTTAGTGTTAGGGGGTACCAGGGAGCGCTTCAATAAGGATTAGGGTTAGGGCTAGGTGTAGGGTTAGCGGGGAGCGCTTCGAGGTGATACATACATGTACAAATGCGTGACATGAGCACAGATGGTGCTGTACCTGTTGGTGCGCACTGCATCGCATCGAATATGCATGCTCTGCGGCTGACGTCCTGTTAGGGTTCGGGTTAGAAAGCAGTTGAGGTGCGAAGTAAAGCACGCTTTCTGTGAAGCGATGCTCAGCGTGCTGTGAGCACTGCTGCACTTTAATCGTTGACATACGACATAGTCACCGTATGACATAGTCACCCTGTGTAGCCGTCATTTATGGCGTAGGGTTAGGGTTAGGATTAGGGTTAGGGTTAGGGTTAGGGGCATGTCAGTGGCGCACATGGGCAATGGTGCTGACGGGGCTGGGCGGTTGGATATGCGAAGCGGCAGATTTGTGCTTTTTATACGGTGCTGCGGCAACTTGAGCGCAACACACGGGGACGCGCTAGGGCTATGACATAAGGGTCTCAGCTGTTGGCAGCGACCACGGACAATAAGTACAAAGTATTCCAGCATGCACCAGATGTGGGGCAAATGACCAGTTCGTGCAAAACACAGATGCAGCATGAAATTGCTAGCTGCAGAAGCAGCGTGAACTGCTGCAAACAGCAACCGGCAAGGCGTTGAATACAAGCATGCGACAGGTTGAGCAACGCATGAAGCACCTGCACCAGAGATACAGCATCTACCAGTGCGTAGAGCTCCCTGGCGGCAGGCCAGGATTGGTGTCAACCTTCGCCTTAGAACAGATGGGCGTCGTCGCATCTTAGGGTTAGGGTTAGGGTTAGGATTAGGGTTAGGGTTAGTAACCCTAACCCTAACCCTAACCCTAAACATCTGCCCAGATAGTTATGTTGAGCTGTCATTGCCGCCACCGCTGCTGGTGCTGCTGCTGCCATGCCCTCACTGCTGCTGCTGCCACTCACGATGATGACGTCTTTGCTGGTTTCGTGCTGCACAGGCGCACCTGCACGACAAGTTTGCCATTTTGCTGACCGACGATGAGGTAAGTGAAGCACCTCACTGTACATGCAATTATGTCATGCAGTGCAACATATTGGGTCATTCTGGCATATGCTGATGGCATGTCAAGTTTTGCCTGCGAACGACGCACGATCTTGGCTATCAATGGTGTGTCATGGGCGTGTCTGCATTGAAGTCGACAGGTATTGTGTCACTCATGAAGTCGTGCTCACAAAGAATGGCCAACTGTCTACGGTTGCATGTGCATGCAGCTGTTGTTGTTATGCTTTCAAGATCAGCTGTGGTAAAAAGATACACCTGGTACAACATGGGCGCACTTCAGCATGTTCCAAGTGCGCAAGGTGCCCGCTGTAAATACCCCATCGATTGTCAGCATAACACGTGCCCACGCTCTACGCTAATGGCCAAACCAGCACTGGCGATAATGACAATAGTTCAACAGGGCCCACCTCACCTTGGACCTTATTTCTGCCTCACTCATTTCGCCTGGCTAAGTGTGCAGTGCGCTGTCCAGCGTCTCGTGCCGCACTCATTTTTCACTTCAACGCTGTTTTGCTGCATGCTTCTTGAGTACAGGTGGATGCCTTGTTTCTTAAGTTGCACTTCAACTTGCACTTCAATTCTGTTTGCTCATGCTGCGCGGGTACAGGTGGATGCCTTGTTCCGCCGGCATGACCCTGAAAACACTGGCCAGCTGGATCTGTACAAGTTTGTCATGAGGTGCGCCGTTAGTATTTCATGACAGCTAGCGTTCTCATTGGTCTCTACTGATCACCAGCACTATGTGGCTTGACCACTGAGTAAGAATCAAAGTAGGGCCAAGGTTTAACAAGTGATCACCGAGCTGGGTCTGTACAAGTTTGTCATGAGGTACGCCGTTAGTGTTTCATGACCGCTAGCATTCACATGGCCACTAAATTGGGGGGAAATGGTAGTCTCGGTCTTGGATTGCTCAGATATGGAGTTGGCCCATGTAACACACCGCTCTGCAGTCTTGACTGCTGAATTAAACGTTTTTTGACTGCTCAACAAATTACTGGGTTGGTAGCAGGCCACTTGCAATGGGGCTTTGGAAGCGTGTGTGCTTAACCGGTTTTCTTGCATGGAAACGAGGCGAGGCGATGCGCAAAGCAGTGGCACAGGCACGCCAGCGGTACTGAGCACTGCTGAGCGTCATTGCAGTTTACACACAGTTACTTGAATGCGTCGTCGGCGTGCAGTGAGCAAGCCGGTTGACTGCGAAGGCTTGAGAGATAGCAAGGTCTCAACTTCATCGTTGAAGTAATTGTTTCTGTTGCCCAAGATTAGCATGCTTGAAGTATGCGAAGTCTTGCACAACAGTTTCAACATATGTTTACAAAAATATCAAAAAGGCGCACAATAGTTTTCAACTTTGAGCTTATTCTGACCGCAGCGCAAAAGCGGTACCTCCGACCTCCACCAGCCGAGGTTTGGTGTCATAGTTCCATTCAACTTTGACCGAAATGCGTCAGCTTTTGTGAGATTCAAGACCACGCAGTGATTAGATGCAACCAGTCGCCATGATGCTGAGCGGGCCTGCTATTCGGAGCGATGCTCGTTGCCGTTGCTGTCTGTCAGGCTGGTGGGGGTGAAGGGGCACGTACATACCTACACTTGCGCGGTTTGCACGCATGTACCACGGTACTAGAGGACTTGCGTTTGTGAATGCCTGGAGCTTAATGTCTCTGAATTGGAGAATCGAACCCCGGCCGTTTCAGCGGTTATTAAAATGTACGCCACTGAACCAATTCAGACCCATGCTCGTTGCCGTTGCTGTCTGTCAGGCTGGTGGGGGTGAAGGCGCACGTACATGAATTTGCGCGTTTGCATGCATGCACCACCAGGGTTGTCAAAGTACTCGAGGACTTGCATTTGCGAAGGCCCTAACATTGAAGTCTCCGAATCGGGGAATTGAACCCCGGCCATTTCAGTGACAACTAGAATGCCAGGGCTCTGAAACAAATGAGACCGATGCTCATTGCCGTTGCTGTCTGACATGACAGGCTGGTGGGAGTGCAGGCGCCACCCGAACCCTGGTTTCAGGGCAGGGAGAGCTACGACTTCCGCTGCGGCAGGCGCGCGCCGCACAAGGAGGACCTCATGGGCGCGCCGGAGTGGTAAGTGGCAATAGCATGCGTGTGCGACACGTCTGACATCGCCGCGCCTTTGCTGCATGCGGGCATCGCAGCGTGGCACTGCAGGCGCATGAGACTGATGGGGTGCGCCACTGGCGAGGGGATGCGGCACCCTGGTGGCGAACAGCGCTGTTGAAGTGTAGGACGTCAGCTACACGTGAAAGTTCAATCAACTGCCGCAAAGAGGGCCTTATGGTGGCACGCCGGAGTGGTTAGCGGCACCGTAAAACAGTGTTTGTGCACAATACTTGTGACATCACCGCTGTTTTGATGCATGCGGGTATCTCAGCATAGTACTGCAGGTAGGCGCACCTTGGTGGCAAGCAATGCTTTTGAAAGGCATGCTGTTGAAGTGTAGGATGTCAGCAGCATCTTCAAGTTCAATCAACTGCCACTGGGCGCACCAGAGTGGTAAGCGGCGCGGGTGAATTGCGTGCGTTTGCGATACTTGTGACATCACCGCGCTTTTGATGCATGCGGGTATATCAGCTCACAATGCAGGCGCATCCACTTGACAGAGAGGCTGATGGGAGCAGGCCAGGTGCAGTAGGCGGTGGCAGCTCAAAAAGTCTAACACGACCATCATCTTCAACTTCAATATGACAGCCATCATCTTCAACTTCAATTGCATGCCTGTGCGGCTCACGGGCCAGACCGCATCAGGTATGCATCAAAGGCGCGCGCTGCGCAGAGATGGTCTGATGGGTACACCTCAGCAGTTATAGCTAGGGTTGGCCAACCCTAAGCTGATCTAGCAACGGGTCACACTGGTCACCTACACAGAACAGCTGCAGCGCTCATGCACACACGCGAGCTGCATGGCAACCATACATGCTATACAGCAGAGCTCTGGGGTACACGCCGGAGACACGCAAACACCAGAACACTGAGAAGCGGCGCCCTGTTGCAGTGGCGATCAGCAGCACGAATCGGCTCCCTAGGCACTTGAATATATCACCATTTGTATAAATCACCATGGAGCGCGTGATACGAACCAATGGCATGCATGTCTGCAGCTGTTCATTTAGTTTGGCACCTGCGCAGCGGCTTGTGGTACTGCGCTCTTTTGTGGTTTCCTGATGCATAGACCAAAGGCTCTCCGAAAACTGATTGCACATCACTTGGTGGTCTGGCAGGCAGACTTGAATGCCATGCCTGAACCGGACAGCAAGCGCGATGTGCCGTACATGCGCAATCAACTTTTGCGTCACTACACACAAGCAAGGATGCACCGCATGAAATGCACATGCGGTCCTGACCGTAACCCTAACCCTCAGCCTAATTCTGACCCCAATCCTAACCCTAGTGGCACCTGCCTCAGGCCACCAACCTACACTATGCACCTACACTGACTCGCGCAAGGACTCTCCTGCATGCAGGCCTGACTCACTCCAAAACCCTCTGCAGATTGCAGTGCCGACTGACTGACGTGTGACTCATGGCACGGTCGTCTCCCTGTATAAATGCGCAGGAAACGCACCAAGTGGTCGCTGCATCACCTGGAGCAGGAGCTCATCAAGAAGATGTGGGCCAAGAGCAACCAGGTCGGTCTTGTCATCCAAGCCGTACACCCTATCCCAAACACTTCCTGTGACCCGAGTTCAAGTCCAACATCAAGATGTGGGCCAAGAGCAACAAGCCGTCTGCAGCCATGCTGTGATCGACCCACTCAACCGAAAACATTTGTTGAAGTTTGGCATCAACACGTGGCGCTGGCTTTGCCTTGACAAATGTTTCGTTGCGCGCCGGCACCCTCTGCTTACCGTATGCCACGGCTTGCATAGCGCAGTGAACGGAACCGCATGACTCCATGCTGGTGCGGCTGCATCTCTCCCCTTTAGGTTAGGGTTAGGGTTGGAACTGGCGTGCACGATGCCCGCCCCTGCAATTTGCCATGTACCAGCGAAGCAACACAGGGCTGGATACACAAGCACAGAACAACTGGCAGCACCGCCGCATTCTGTCTCTGACACCGCTGCCTATACGCCGCTGGCATCATCAGACGTAGGGGCCGGGCTCTCGCGTGTCATGTCTATCCGCAGCGCTCAACCTTGGCCAGTACAGTACTCAGTTGCCAACCCATGTGCTGCGAAGACAGGCGCTTTGCCTTAAAGTTGGTATCGAGGTTGAACCCACAGTGTTTCGCCTTCCCCGATGCGCGATGCGCCGACGGCTGTGCCGCTGCCAGGCTCGCAGGCGGTTCACTGGAACTTAGATTGTTGACATCGCACTTCAACTTGCCCAGTCACAGCGCTCAGCCCACTTCAATCTCAACTGTACCAACTGTCAGGACGGTGGGCGCTTTGCCTTCAAGAGCGCCGTGAACCTGCTGCGCAGCGCCAACCCCGACCACCTGGACCGCACCAGCTTCACGCGCGCGGCAGCCAAGATGGTGGTCTTCCGGCAGTTCGACATTGTCATGGATGACGAGGTGCCGTACCGTAGAACTAGGGTTCGAGTTACAGCATCTAGGAGTAGAGCAGCACTGGCAACCAATGGACCTGCAAGGTGTTGAGTATGGGGTGTTGCACCTCACGCGCTGAGTGGATGGTGGTCTTCCGGCAGTTTGACATTGTCATGGACGACGAGGTGCCGTACCCAAGAACTAGGGCTAGGGTAACAGCTAGGTTGAAGCAGCGCAATGAGAAGGGATGACTTGCAAGGTGTGGGCCTTGGGGCCTTCTACGTGGCTCGAATGATGCTTCCAACAGCACTTCAAGCGCTGCACATGGCGCACTTCTTCGAACTGCATAATTATGCCATGTTAGTAACTGAGCTGCGTATGCGCCGGCCATTTGCAGGTGTCGTGCTGTTGTGGACAAATCGTAAACATGATAGTGGCACATGAAGCTGAGTAGGCTTCATTCAAACCTTGTGCCCCGCTGCAAAAGCACATCATCGTGTAGTACAATCCACCAATGCGCGAATTCAGGCCTGTGACCATCTTTAAGTAGGGTTAGTGACCAACCCCAACCCTAGCCCTACCTTTACATGAGCCCATGTCCATCGCTCACACGGTTCTGCTTTGCTATGGCACGATGGGCAAGAGCTACCTACCCCTGAGACTGCGCCAGCACGGGTAGAATTGACATCCTTTGCAGCATCGCTCAACCTCGCTGCTGATCGTTGCTGTTTACTGTTGCTGCTGCTTGTGCGCAGCTGGTGGACCAGCTGTTTGCCAAGTACGCTGATCCACGCACGGATAAGGTATGTAAGCATGTATCGCCGACAATGTGCACACGTATCAAACGAATGAGCAGCGTGACCATGTGATCGTCAACTTGTCGCTCATCTGACTCGTGCCGCAACAGGGGGGCCCCAAACACAACATGTAGCATTGGCTTATACGTGTTGCTGTGGTGACACCTGGTCGTGCACTGAAGCATGTGCGGTGAAAGCACAAGCGCCGCCCGTTTAAGATGTTAAGATGTTAATCAAGCAGTGGCGTGCTATGGCTAGCACTGGCAAATGCACGCATGCATGCACGTTCTGCCGGCTTACTCACCAACACATGTTTGCAGGTCCTGTCGCCGCATCCTTTCTACTACAACATGCCTGGCCACGTGTGGACACGAGAGTGCATGTAGAGCTTTGTGATTGCACCTGTTTCCCGCACCGTCACGCAGACAGGATCGCAGCATTTCTGTGCACTTGAAGTTGAAGTTGACATGCCATCTATTCGCATATGCTCATCGGTGAGCCGGTGCCTTGCATCCGGTGCCTTGTATCATCAGGGATTCTGAACAACCCCACTCTCCGTAGGGTTAGGGTTATTCGCACGCCCTTTGCGCGTTGCTGCAATCACGATAGTCTACGACGCCTGTGGGCACATATCTCCATCCACATACTGGTGCCAGATCAGCACCGTCTACATGCATGAAGTTGAAGTTTACATGCATGCTCACCGAAGATGCGCGTCCTTAAGCTGGTGCCTCGAACCATCAGGCTTCCAGAAAACGTCAGCTTTCTTCGCAACTCGGCGTCCTCTTTTGCGCCAGTACAGTGATGCCTTGCCTGGGACGCTTGCAAAACTGACATGCCCTCGCACATCTGCCGGCAGAGCACATGTGTCCGCGCGCACGCACCTGTCTTCATCGGGCATGCTGCACAGCCTGAACCTTCTTGACACGTGCACACGCGCGCTTGCCAACATGACACTCATGCCGAGACGCGCATACGACACACGTGCTTGTGCAACATTAGTGCTTGCGCAATGTTACACTCATGCGCGCCTGGTACGCCTGTGCGCAGATCTCCATCCACAAGATGGTGCCAGATCAGCACCATCTACGTGCATGGAGTTGACGTGCCCTCTGACCGCAGTCATGCCGCACAGCCCGAACCTCTCTCACGTGCGAAAACATGCGCTAATGCAAGACGACAATCATGCTTGCTTGGTACGCAGCAAGTGTCTACATGCATGAAGTTGAAGTTCACATGCCCTCTGACCGCAGATTCCTCATTTCGTGAGCAGGGGCCTCGCTTTCACCAGTCATGTCGCACTAACCCGAACCTCTTTGAGGCGCGAAAACACGCTCTTATGCAAGACCACCATCATGCGCGCCTGGTACGCCTGTGTGCAGATATCCATCCACAAGCTGGTGCGCACGCTCCTGCCG